AGTTTCTGTTATTTTTTTAGTTGTTGCTATAAATAGGACATTAAAGAGTTTCTGAATAACTGTAATGACATTTCATGCTTTGTTTTGGACAATTTAATATTATGAAGATCAGTTCTCCAGAGAGAAGTAATCTGGAAACAAAATTTCAGGTGAAATTTTTGGGAAACTTTCGACTAAAATTAGTCAAAATTTTATATGAAATATATCTCTCTATAAATAGCTGGATTAACTTTGAAAAAAGGACCAAATAAAATAGGCATGCTCATGTTATTGGATGTCTTACACACCCTGTAGGAAGACTTATTGAAAGCCAAAATAATTTAAAAAATAGAATACTAGAATTGCATGGTGTTAAGAGCAGATGAAATAGCAAACAGGAATGAATAGAGAGTTTAAAGACAGACCCAGACATAGGTAAACTTAGTACACACTAAAATTACTACAAATGAATGAGTAAAGAATTGATTGTCTAATAAATGGAACACTGGAAAAGTGTTGTGGGAAGTCAGGGACCCCAAACGGAGGGACTGGCTGGATTCGAGGCAGAACATAAATTGTGAAGATTTCATGGACATCTATCAGTTCCCCAAATTAATACTTTTATAATTTCTTACACCTATCTTTACTGCCATCTCTGAACATAAATTGTGAAGACTTCATGGACATTTATCACTTCCCCAATCAATACTCTTATAATTTCTTATGCCTGTCTTTACTTTAATCTCTTAATCCTGTTATCTTTGTAAGCTAAGAATGTATGTCACCTCAGGACCACTATTGTGCAAATTGATTGTAAAATATGTGTGTTTGAACAATATGAAATCAGAGAACCCTGAAAAAGAACAGAATAACAGCAATTTTCAGGGAACAAGGAAAGATAACCATAAGGTCTGACTGCCTGTGGGGTTGGGTAGAATAGAGCCATATTTTTTTTCTCACAGAAAACCTATAGATGGATGTGTGAGTGGGAGAAATATTGCTGAATTATTTTCCCAGCAAGGAATAGCCCTGGGGAAGGAATGCATTCCTGGGGGTAGGTCTATAGATGGCTGCTCTGGGAGTGTCTGTCTTATGCAGTTGAGATAAGGACTGAAATATGCCCTGGTCTCCTGCAGTGCCCTCAGGCTTACTAGGATTGGGAAATTCCAGCCTGGTAAATTCTAGTCAGACCAGCTGTCTGCTCTCAAACCCTGTTTCCTGTTAAGATGTTTATCAAGACAATGTGTACACAGCGGGACACAGACCCTCATCAGTAATTCTAATTTTGCCTTTGCCTTATGATCTTTTATTGCCCTTTGAAGCATGTGATCTTTGTGACTTACTCCCTGTTCGTACACTCCCTCCCCTTTTAGAATCCCTAATAAAAATTTGCTGGTTTTTCGGCTCAGGTGGGCATCACAGAACCTGCCAATATGTGATGTCACCCCCGGTGGCCCAGCTGTAAAATTCTTCTCTTTGTACTCTTTCTCTTTATTTCTCAGACCAGTCAACACTTAGGGAAAATAGAAAAGAACCTTTGTTGAAATATTGGGGGCTGTTTCCCCCAATAGAAAAGATAACATTGGATCTATATTTCACAAATATTTAAAAGTGAATGTCAGATATACTAAAGAAATATTGTAATAGGTAAAACTAAAAACCTAATTAAATAAAAAATATAGTATTTTATGACCTACATGCAGGATTTTTTTCTTTTGAGAAAAACAAACTTCCAAAGCACAAATCACAGAATAAAAAAGTGATGCATTTTAATGCCTCAAAATGAAGGCCTTCTGTTCAACAAAGGACTCTATGGATAAAGTGAACACAGGGACGACAGATTAGAAGCATGTATTTGCAGTGGTTATAACAGAACAGGGCTAACATCTATAATACATCTATCAATAAAGGAATGGCAAACAACCCAAAGGAAAAATGGGCAAAGAAAATGAACATGCAGTGTATAACAATAAAAACCCAAATAGCTAACAGTTTGCTTCACTCGCTCAGAAAATATATATTTTGTGCCTACTATGAGACAGGCACTATTTTAGAGACTTGGCATATACTACTTTACAAAACAAAGAGCCCTGCCTTCAAGGAGCTTATATATGGGGCAGTGAAGGGTAACCTATATTTAAAAATGCATAAATTGCAAAACTGCTAGAAAAGGTAAGTTTTCTGGAAAAAATAAATCAAGGGAAGAAGGAGTGGGAGTGTGGGTCAGGAAGGAAGTTTGTTGTAACAAACACGTCAGTCATGTAAATCTCGTTGAAGAGATGATGGTTGAATGAAAAATCAACAGAGGTGAGGAAGTGGCTATCTAAGGAAAGAGCATCCCAGAAAAAGAGTATAGTTAGAAAACAGGCCCACCTCCACAAAAAATACTTTGGATTTTATTTTTAGTAAATGCAGGGTGTGAGCAGGGTAATGACATGGCCTGAGTTATATTTTAAAAGGTTCCCTCTGAGTGCTGGGACGTAAGAGTGAAGCAGAGAAACTTGTTGAAGGCTACTGCAGTAACCCAAGTAGGAGACGGTGGTGTTTCATACCACAGAGTGACCACAGAGATGAGAAGTGATCATATTCTGCACATATTTTGAAGGTAGGGGCAACAGGATATTTTTGCAGATTTGAGTCAGGTATGAAAAAAAGGAGTGGTGAATGGACTCATCACTGCAGTGAGGAAGTTACCATGAACTGAGACGAGGAAGGCATGAACAGAATGATACAGAGTGAGAGTGGCTGGGAATCAGGAACTCAGCGTGAGAAAAACATGAGAATGAAACTCTGTGTCTGATTACTTTTCAGAGTAATGGAAAATAAAACAATTTTATCTTTTTAGCTAAAAAAATAAAATAAAAACATGCCGAGTGTTGTTGAAGTTGTACATAAGGAATGATTGTGCACTGAAGTAGGAGTATAGAGTTATAAAGCCATTCTAGAGATCACTATGACCTAGCAACTTGGTTCCTGTGGAAATACACCCAAGAAATTTTCACACAGGTCTTTAAGTGAGCCTGTATCGTGATATGAATGCCAGGGTGCTGGGGAGTTGGATATTTAGCTACCAGGAATGATAGCTAGAATATTGTGAACACCATGGATTCATAATTGATCACTGTGAACAGTTAGAAGTAGTAGACTAGCAATATGTATGAATCTTTATATTGTTGAGCCTGGGCATGGTGGCTCACCTCTGTAATCCCAGCGCTTTGGGAGGCCGAGGCGGGAGGGCTGTCTGAGCTCAACAGTTCCTGACCAGCCTGGGCAACACGGTGAAATCCCGTCTCTAGTAAAATACAAAAAATTAGTCGGCCATGGCAGCATGTGCCTGTAGTCCCAGCTACGCGGGAGGCTGAGGGAGGAGAATTGCTTGAACCCAGAAGACAGAGGTTGCAGTGAGCTGAGATAGTGCCACTGCACTCCAGCCTGGGTGACAGAGTGAGACTCCATCTCAAAACAAACCAACCAACAAACAAAAAAAACAATAAAAAATACAGTGTTGAGTGGAGAAAATGAATACATAGAATCAGATAACAACATAACGCATTTTTTAAAAAAATGGATAAATTCACTCTCAAAACATATTGCATTAACAAATTAGAATAGTTGGCCAAAAGACCAGGAAGAAACAGACATTACAAATAAGATATAAGAGAATTAATGCAATATGCAGCACAACAATGTTTTGCTCAGTGACTGACCTCATATACTATGGTGGTCCCATAAAATTATAATGGAGCTGAAAAATTCTTATTGCCTACTGACTTCGTAGCTACCGGAACGTTGTAGCAACACATTACCTTTTCTATGTTTAGATATATTTGGAAACACAAATATTTACCACTGTGTTAAAATTGCCTACAGTATTCAGTACAGTATCATGCTGTACAGGTTTATAAACTAGGAGAACAGGCTATACCATGTAGCCTAGGTGTGTAGTAGGCTATGCCATCTAGGTTTGTGTACCTATGGTACACAACTCTATGGTGTTTGCATAATGACAAAATCGCCTAATGACACATTTCTCATAGCATGTCTCTGTCATTAAACAATACATGACTGTAATAAATTTTCAAAAATTAGTAAGAGGTTCCTCGTGTTATTTCATATACTGATGAGTATTATTAACCAATTATCTCTGCACATGAGATTTTTAAAAGCCTTATTTTCTAATATCTTAATTCTAACATATATGATCTTTATACACTTCATAAAAGGCAACTCCTAAAATAGCAAAGAACATGTCCATTGATAAATTATTCAATGAGCATGAATTAAACAGCATTGTTAGGCACTGGGACTACAAGGAGCATCCGCCTTGCTCTCAAGAAGCTTACAGTCTAACTTGCCAAGACAACACTGCCCTTTCCACTGCAAAAGCAGGTTTTCTTCTTTTGAAAAGTAGGGGATCAAAACAGCTTTATTTTTGAAAATTTACACAATTTTTAGCAGAGTTATTGATGCCAGTAATCTATAGAATTCAAAATTTCCAGTGAAAGGCAATATGTATAAATAAATTAGATTAAGTCTAAGATTTCACACACAAATATCTTGTAGGTCTGAATCATTTTCTCCATCAATACACATGACTTGTAGAAAAATACATTTTCTTTTTATAGAGATTTATCTGTTTTCTCCCAACCCTTGATGGTTGAACACATGCAGTGAAAGAGGGGAGACAGGATGCAGGTGCAAATGGGGAGGGAACCTCAGCTGGACCATAACAGGCCCTGCACAGGAAGAGTTTGCATTTTGTTCTAAGCAGGAGATGTAGCCTAATTTATTTTCTCAGATAAAGGTGTCCTCGCCAGGTCAAAGGGCCCAGGTTACCCAACAAATAAATTGCAGCAAAAAGAAAGAGTTGGAGGGGACCTACAGGTTGAAGAGACTTTGAAGACACATGAAGTGGAAATGTGCAGAACTAAACTAGATGGACTAGGGATGTTCGTTTGGGCCCTAAAGCCATAAAGACGTGCAAGAAAGTGATTACTACAAAGATCAGCATAGTAGTTAATATTGGGAAAAGGGGTTGGGTGATTAGGATGGGGCACATGGAGGGGCTTCTGCAGTAGCTGGTAGTTCTATTTTTGATCTGAGCAGTGCTGACAAGCAGGTTGGCTAATGGTAATTCACTAAGTTACACAAGTGTTTAGTGTGGTTTCCTGCTTCTGTATTTTATTTTACATAAAAACAAATAGTAATTTTAAAAATTAAGCTATTGTGTAAAGAATAAAATGTAGAAAGTAGAGATGGAAACAGAGAAAGCAGATCAATCATATATAATTGTTGATAAAGCTAACAGAATTCATTGACAATTAGATGTAAAGGGAAGGAATCCAGAATTATTCTGAGTGTGTTCCTTTTACTGATATAGTGACGGTATACTGGGGCAAGAGATGAGCAGTTTGCCGTAGAGGAAGCAAGCACAATAGTACCAGTTTAGCCATGTTAAGAATGTGATTCATTTTTCATAACTGTTATTAAGCAAGCAATTGGACACATGTGTTTGGAGCCCATGAGAAAGATCTTCTCTATTCCGGAACTAAGAAAATTAAGAACTTCATTATAGATGTGTGGATAGATAGGTGATAGATGCCATGAGTCTGGGCAAGAGCACTTGGAGGAGACAGAGAACAGCAAGCCACTATATCCACAGTAATTTTATAAAGCCCATTTTGAATAACCATATGGGAGAGAGAGGATTGCATAATACTTAGGCCTATAATTTACCCTAAAAATCTTTTTTAAGTAGTTGAATATCTACTCTATGCCAGCCACTCTGCCAGGTATTTTAAAAAGATTATCTATAATCTTCAAAATCATCACACATTAGGTATTATGGCTTCTTTTAATAGCTGAGGGAACTAGAGGTCAGAGATTGTTGAAAGCCACATTGTTGGTGAGAGGTAGGGTCAAGACACAAAGTGTGGCTGGTCTCACTCAGAAGCTCTTCACCCTGTCCACAGTATATTTCCTGAAACAAAGGAAGCGTGTGAAGTCTAGGAGGCTAGATTCCCAAGCGGACCCCAGTTTCACAATTGGAATTTTTTGTTTTTGTTTTCTTGCCACATATTTAACAGGGCTGTGATTCTTAGAGCTATAGTGCCAGAGCCAGTGTACAAAAACATGCTCCCCTTGGTCTACCTTGTCAGAAAATCTTAGGAGAAAGGGCATAGCAATCATTTCTTCTTTGTAATGTCTTCCTTTGGACTGTTGGAAGGGAGGAGAAATTCATTGAATCTTCATCCTTTTTCACTAAATTTTTGCAACACTCTTTGTAAGACACTCCGCACGTCGTTGTTCCTCAGGCTGTAGATTAAGGGATTAAGCATTGGAGTCACGACAGCATAAAAGAGGGCAACCATCTTCTCCTGTTCCACGGAGGAGCCACCCACAGGTCTCATGTAGGTGAACATTGTAGCCCCAAAGCACATGCAAACCACAGTGAGGTGAGAGGCGCAGGTCCCAAAGGTTTTGCGGCGCCCCTGAGCAGAAGGAATGCGAAGAATGGTAGCAACTATGCGAGCATAGGAGAATAGGACCAGTGAACAGGGAAGCAGGATCACCAGAAACCCTGAGATGGCCACCATGGCCTTGTTGAAGGAGACGTCCACACAGGCTAGCCGTAGCACTGCTAAGGTCTCACAGGCAAAGTGATTAATAACATTGTGACACAGGGGAAGCTGGAAGGTGATAATTGTTTCCATCAGTGAATTTGAGAAGCCAGCCACCAGGCAGCCGGCCGCCAGCCCCAGGCACAGCCCTCCATGCATGATGAGCGTGTAGTGCAGTGGGTGGCACACGGCCACGTAGCGGTCATAGGCCATGGCCCCCAGCAGGAAGAACTCCATGCTGCCCATTGCCAAGGAGACACACAGCTGGAGCACACAGCTGTGGAATGGTATAGACTTCCAGGCTGAAAGAAAGTGAACAAGCATCTGTGGGACAGTGCTATTGGTATAACAGATGTCCACAAATGACAGGACACCAAGGAAGAAGTACATGGGTGTATTGAGCCTGCTGTCCAGCCTGATAAGGAGGAGGATGAGGAAGTTCCCCAGCATAGTCACCAGATACATGGCCAGGAACAGGACAAAGAGGAAGACCTGAGTCTCCCAGGCACTGGACAATCTGAGCAGAATGAATTCACACATCCATGTCTGGTTTTCTCTACCCATGAGCCTCTGAGGACCAAACCCAAGTCATAAATAGTAAGTCCCAGAACTTCAGGGTGGCAGAGGCTTTATGAGGTCATTTACACCAGGTAGCCCATCTAATATTAAGTGATGTGGTTTTCCAGATTATATACATCTCCTTGAAGGTTCTGGCCACAATAGAACCTGTAGATGTTCGCATTCGTTGAGGAAAAAAACCTCTTCTTCCTTAAGTGGGGAAGATTTTATTAAAATGAGTGGACACTTGACTTAAAAAGATCAACTGTGAAACTGGAATCTCTTCTTTTACATCCAATTTCTAATTATAAAGTTTGCTTACTTCTTTGTTGGATACCCGTTTTCCCCTCCTTACTGTCTCAGAATCCATAGTAAAGTAACCTAACAGTTACGAACACATTTTAAATTTTTTGATCTCTGAATTCCCTGACTACAAAACTATGTTGCCCCATTTTTATCCATTTATAATTAGAAACTTGGGGCTTCATCTTAGAAAGCAAACATAAAATAGATTTTTAAGTGATAAAAAACTGTCAAAAATCTCTTATCTAGATGATAAGGTAAGAGGAAAGAATGCCCAATGTCATTTTCATCCTCCTGCAGAAAAGTAGCAGAGTATGTGTTCACAGCAGGCTATGACTGTCCAGAAACTATATGTCAGTGATGCACCTACTATCTTCCCTAACAAATGATAAGAACTTACATATTTGCTAGAAGTATTAGCCTATTAACTGAGAGATAATGGTCATCTAGTTGCATATTCCCACCGGTTCTATTTGCATTATGTCTTGAATAGTGACAGTTTGGAGACCACAGTGTGATGGAAAATAATTAACTGAAATTAACTCATTGAAATGACTATTGATTATCTCTCGTTCTCTTTCTCCCAATTCCCTTTATTCTTATTCTCATCTCAAACACTTTGCTGTTCCACTCCCTTGGAAAACTTTGTCTTCTCTTATCTTTGTACTGTTCTCCTTCTATTGTGGCTCATAGAACCAAAAGGTAACACTCTAGCCTGCTCAATACCATCTCCAAACTTTCTAATAATGATGATAAACAGCATTTTGGAAAGTTCAAGGGCTCTAGTATTCAAAAATGCTCTTTGAAACTCTTAGTAATCTGTGTTTGCACCTTATTCAAATCACAAATGATTTGGAAACATTTTATGGTCTTACCAAAGCCTACTCTAAATTTCCCACATATTCTATCTTTTAATTACTCTGTCTTGTGGCAAAAGAAAATGAAACTTAGACCCAGATGTTCCAACCAAATATTACCTACTTTCCATCTGTGATCAGGTAGTGCCATTAACTGCAGAAAAATAGGGTGTCCAGAGCACTTGGATAAGCTAGCGGACAAAAAGTCAATGGGCATTTGGATATGATAATCCTTTATTCACCTTTGAATACATTAAGCTTAATAAACCATTCCTATCCCAAGAGATAATTTATGTAAGTTACAATGAGACGAGGCAATAAAAGTATGAAATTTTTTTAATTCTTTAAAATTTACCCTACAGTTTCAAAAGATTAATAAATCACTTTGTAATATTTCTACCAAAGAAAGAGGAAACCTACCCTTTTGTTATCCCTAATGAATAAAATAGTCAAATTATGAAAGCATAACTGGCAGATACTGCAGGTACAAAGGAGAGAGATACATCATCTCAAAGGGGAAAATCAATGCCTGGGATCTATCAATGTGCCTTGGCCACAAACAGACAATATTTTATAAACTAGTTCTGAAAATTCAATGGAGTAGTAGTCAGTTCTACTATGACCTATGAAACAATTTATATAAAGGAATTTCATCAGCAAAGGGTTGACACTAACAGAGAAGGGTATATTTGATGATGACTTAATGGATCTCAGGTACCAAATAAGGAAACCTGGTTGAAAAAACCAACTGACATTAATCTCTTGAAGTTTTAAACCTTTTACTTCTTAACAAAAATAAAAATAGTTAAAGGTTCGACAAAATTTAGTAATCCCTGATTTTTGGCCAGTAAGGCCCAAGAAGGTACTGATTAAAGATAAAATAAAAATACCTGCAGTTAGCATGTCATATTTCTGTATCATCTTCGTTATTTTTTTTTAACGGCCTCTTCCTGGGAGTGAATGAACTGCTTTGCCAATGAATATGCATTTACCAGTTCATCTCTCATTAACTCGTTTCTTGATCTGTCTAAAGGGAGCATAAGTTCAAATCTTTCCTAATTCATTGGAGGGCGGCAATATACGTATCCTTAATGAAATAAGAATATAATGCTAATGGTAAAAATAATGGTTTCTTAAGAAAAAAAGCAAAAAATAAAATAATACAGCTTAAAACATTTTTGAAAATTTGGTATGTAAATAAAAGTTAAGCAGATTTTCTAAAGTAAGGTGGCAATGTTATAATTGACAATAATAGTGAAGGCGAACGGCATTCCTGTATCACCTTTTCTTCCTGAGTTTATGATTCAAGCTTCCTATGGTGATGAATTACAAGTTTTCTTTTCAAAAAACAAAGCCACATGGAAAGCTTGAGATTTTCCCAAAGTGTCGATTGGCTGAGTTGCTCTCCCAATCCCAACTTCCTTAGGTATAGCCACAGTGCTGGCAGCAACATACGCTTTGGTTATTCTGATGAAGTTACCTTATGACCATCATCATTTATGAGCCAGTCAACACAAACCTGTCCTCTAGTCCACATTTCCAGGGGTCAGTGCTGCTGTGTGCTGCGGTGGGATGCAGGAAACATGACCAGCTAAGCCTGGCGATTCCTGTGAAAGCTGTCAAAGCCTTATGCTGGATGCTTCTCTTCTCAGAGGTATCTGAAAATAACTTCCTCCTCAATTTGGCTATTCAAGCTATGGTTTCTTGGAATCAATTGCCAAAATGAGACTTTTATCATTCCACCAACCAAATTCATTCCTATTTTCACATAAGGCTTAAAAGTCTAGGAAGCAGCTGTGTGTGTTAAGGAGGAAACCCTGGGTTCACGGCTCAAGGTTCTAATACAGCACTGGAGATGACAAGAGGTCAGCACTATCCCAGGAAGAGAGGGCTGGGCAAGAGGCAGGATTTAGAAGTTATTTTCTTTCCCCTCAGAGAGAAAATCTCCGCAGGCCAATTATGCTGTGTTTATTAGGCTTCTCTTACTTTTTCTTCTTTTTTTTTTCTTTCATTTTTCCCCTTCATTTCTTTTTCCTTCATTCAGGAATTTCAATATGGTGACTTCTTCACCTTAAACTCTTACATATACATTTAAGAGAATTTACAAATAAGAATTTAGTGTTTCCTGAGCCCAAAACATGAGAAGAGAATTCAAAGTCCCAGTTCCCCAGGGGACATTCTTCTAAGCCTTTGTTGAAGTTTCACTTTGAGGAAGCTGTAACTTGCCCATGATGTTCTGTCCATACACTCATGATTTGGAATATTTGACCCAAGTGTCTAGTTATTCATGGATCATCTATACGACCTTTGAACATTATCTTCTTTAACATGACACTTAAGTTGTGCATTATTTGTGATCAAATATCTTTTCACAACTGATGCAACTGTTTTGTGAAACCTTTCTCATTCTGACTCCTGAAAGAGTACTTCAATCTGTCAAATTATTTAACTATGTATATAGTGCTTAACCCTTATATTCTGCAAATACCACAGAAATTTACTACATACTTTAAGCATCTCAAATTATATATCCATTGTGTTAGATATGTGCGTTGTTTCTAGTTTGTAGCTATTAAAAACAATACTGCTATGAACATTCATAGACACATACAACACACTCATCTTTCATCCCACATATGTACCCATTTCAGTTGCCTGGTAGTGTAATTGCTACATCACAAGTTAAATGCACGCCCAACATTAGCTAACATTGTCAGTTTGCCAAAACAGTTGTATAAATTAAATTTCCATCAACTACACATTAGGATTTTTATTTTTGCTTCATCCTTTCTCTACCCTTGTTATTGTCAGTTTTTTTTCCTTTTTAACCATTCTCATAGGTACATAGTAGTATCTCACTGTGATTATATTTTACATTTCCCTAATGACTAACAGTGTTGTACGTATTTTCAAATATTTATTGGCCATTGGATATTCCATTTTGTGAAATGTATATGCAATATTTTGCCCAGTTTTCTACTGGGCTATCTCTCTTTTTCTTATAGATTTTGGCTCGCTATATATTTTGAATGTAAGTCATCTGTCATAAAATATTTTCTTCCATGGCATGGCTCGCCTTTTTACTCTCTTCATTGTGCTTCTGATGAATTGATTCTCTTAATTGTAATGTAGTTTTATATATCAATTGTTTTTCATATAGTTCTAACGTTCTGTGTCCTGAATGAGAAATCTTTGTCTACCACAATTCATCTTTGTCTATTCACAATTGCTTCTTCACTACTCCCATGTGTTGCCATAAACCAAATTTCAATTTTTTGTGTAGGTTTTTATTTCTAGGCTCTAGGCTCTTTTTTTCTGTCCCATTGGTCTGTTTATTTATCGCTATACCAATACTACATTTTCTTCATTACTATAGTTTTATAATAAATCTTGTTTTATCATAGTGTAAATCCTCCAACTAGATTCTAAATTTTTAAATCGTCTTGACACTTCAGGCCATATAAATTTTTAATATGATTCTAAAATGTTCTCAAAAATTTCCAGGACAATAACTTGCTAAGATTTTAATTTGATTTTCATTGAATCTGAAAATCCATTTGGGGGGAAGTGACATTTTTATGGTATTGTGTCTTCCAATCCATGTAAAAGTTATATTCTTCCATGTATTTTGTATCTGTATTTTTAATCTATATATACGTGTTGTAGATCTCTCATTGGATTTGTTCCCAGATTTGAAGTTTTGAAATGTTGTTTTAAACAGTGTCTTTTAAATTACGTGAAAATATAATTAGCCTTTCTATATTGAATACATGAAATGGCTTTTGTGGATGACTGGTGTGTCATTTCTATCTTATATATTTGGTAGAATTCCTTGAAGAAACACTTAATTTAAAATAATTATTTGAAGGAAAATTCTTAAACACAGATTCAAATTTCTTAAATATAAGACACACGATTTCTTCATGTGTCCATTTTGGTAAGGTTTTTTTTTTGTTTTTTTTTTTTTTTGAAATTTCTCTGTCCCATCAAACATTCAAATTTATGGGCCTAAATTTGTTAATATTTTCTTATATTTTCTAATTTATATAGAAACTGTGATAATGTGTCTTTTTCTTTTGCTGACATTGTTTTTTTCTTTCAGTTCTCTCTATCCCCTCTATTTTGATTAGTCTGGGCAATAGATTATAAGTTTCACTAGAAAATAGTTTAAAATCATTCGATGCAAGGAGGACAACAAATAATCCAAACAGATTATGATACCAAAACACAGGCAACAAAAGGAAACATACGGAAGTGGGATTTCTTCAAACTAAATGTTTTCACAGGGCAGATGGAACAATCAACAGGATGAAAAAGCCACCTATGGAATGGGAGAAAAGAGTTGCAAACCATGTATCTGATAAGAAGTTTGTATCCAAAACATATAAAAAATGTAGACATCTTAATAGCAAAAAAACCCCACAAATAACCCAATTCAAAAACTGGCAAATAACTTGAATAGCTCTTTTTCCAGCGAAGACATAAAAATGACAAACAAGTATATGAAAAGGTGTTCAGTGACACCAATCATCAGAGAAATGCAAATCAAAAAACACAATAAGATATTACCTTACACCTGTTTGGATGACTATTATTAAAAAGATAACAGATAATAAGTGTTGGTGAAGGTGTGGAGAGAAGGAAGTCTTTATATATTTGTAGGAATGTGTGTGGGAATTTGTGTGGAGAAAAGGAAATCTTTGTATATTTGTGGGAATGTGAACTGGTTATATCACTCCAGTATATGTTGGATGATGATATTTTATATTGGAATATATATTATATATAGGAATATTATTCAGCCATAAAAAAGGAAATCCTGTCATTTGTTACAGTGTAGATAAACCTGGAGGACATTATGGTAAGTGCAAAAATCTAGGCAAAATGTGAGATCTCACTTATATGTGGAATCTTAAAAAGTTAAACTCATAGAAGTAGAGAATAGAACCATAGTTTCTAGGGGATAGGATATGGGGAAATAGGGAGATGCTGGTAAAACGTTCCGTTATCAGATGAACAAGTTCTGGGTATCTAAGGTACAGCATGGTGGTGATGGGTATGTTAATTAATTTCATGTGGTAATCATTATGTAATGTATAAATATACCAAATCATGTCATACTTCTTGAATATATACAATTTTTATTTATCAATTAAATATGGGGAAAAAAATACAAATAAGGGGTAGTCTCATCCTTAGAAAACACCATATAATTTAGCAAGTAACAGAAAGAAGACAATTATTTCCTCCTTTAAGAAGAAAATTCTTAACACTATAAAAGAAAACAAACATCATTTTAAAATTATCTTCAAATATATATGGAGAGAACTTTTAAAATATGTCGCTCTTCTGAGCTTCTCTAGTCCAGTGTGAAACAAGTTGATAAACAGCTAGGACCTTGAAAAATCCATTGCTATTACATCAGAACCACTTCAAAAAAAAATTACATGTGCTAGGAAAATAAATAAAATTTACCCGATCTTCTCTTTGAGAAGGAATGCTGATCTATTAAAAAGATTTGATTGCAACAATGTAGCAATGTATTTCACAGATCTATTTTGGAGTTCTATCAAATATTAAAAGAACACATACTTTCAAATTTGCACAAGATTTTCAAAAGAAAAAAATGAGGGATTATGGCATACCTAATTGTGTAAGATTATCATAACCATGATCCCAAAACTAGATAGGGAATATGAAAGAAAGAAAAATTCAGTCTGAATGGGGAAAATGGATAGAAAACTTTAAAAAATATATAGCAACCCCCATACATTCATGTATAAAAATATTTAATGCATCATACAAACTTGGTTTAACTCAAGACAAAAAAGTTTACTATTAGAAAATACTCGATTATTTGCCACATTATTAGTAAAAGAATAAAAGCCATATGATCATATTAATAGACACAGAAGGATATTTTAAAATTAATATATATTCATGATTTTAAAAAATATAGACCTTACTACTGATGAAATGCACATAAAGTAGATAAGCTTAGAAACAAAATAAAAATGTCATACCCCTATATATTAGTTTGTTCTTACACTGCCATAAAGAACTATCTGACACTGGGTAATTTATAAATAAAAGAGGT